TCTTTGTCTTACAAAATTCTGTTAATGGAAGTGATTTTTTTAGAGTAAATCACCATATTTTGCAAACATACAACGGAAAATATGAAAAAATGTCAGATAAACATCAATTAAGTATTTTTCGGTGTGTCCAAATTCATTTGAATGGCACACTTATTGGCTCCAGGCAAAAATTATTGAAAGATGCTGTACATGTACATGACTAATTGGACTGCATGAAAAATGTTAGGGCGATGAACTCACCCGGAGTTTGTCGTCGGTGTATTTCTGAGCATATTGAATAAGATAAACAGCCATAAGAATTGTTACAAGCCCGTACAATATTCCGCCCAATAAGCTAACGCGTAGGACCACGACAGCGGAAGTGACGTCTTACAGCCGTAAATGATCACGCCCAGAATAGCACAGCTGCTGAAGTAAAGAGAAATGTCATCTTTAGCACAATATTTCGTGTGGAATCATTGAATGTTGAAGCGCAAATAAATGATGTTAATTAAGTATTTTCAAGTAATTTGATTGTAATTAGTTTAATTATCGATGCATAACGTTTAAAATGAACGTAATACACATGCACGTGATTGCACATGTAAAATGTAGAAATAGATACAGTATGTCAAAATGAATGACACTGCACCAGCTGGTGATGCCAAGGACCATCATGTGTACTTTGTGAGTTACTCAACCGACTCTCAAATCGTCAGTATACCCTACTGTCGTTCAGCGTATTTATATTTGTATTTATGACTTATCTACAAACCTGTCATACCATTTCAGTGTAAAAGCAATATTGTGAACCTGAGAATGAGAAATCGTATATCAGTTCGCCGATAAAGGGGGGACAGCATGACATCGTAAACACAAAAGAACAATATTTGATTTAAAAATACGAACCAATAACAAAAGGAACACAGATGACACCAATACAACTTTAGCTGAGGTGGCATTTCGTGATCCAGAAATGCAGATGAAAGATTCAAAGCCTAGAGAATGACCCTTGACATCTGATAAAAAAAATCCCAAATGTATCACATTTTCCCCAACCCTTACACTATGCTTAAAACATTCCAAATATCGTCCTGTTGGTCAAATACATTATACAAAAATGTGAAAGGAATAAACAATGTTGTTTTAGACTCATAGAATGTAAACGGCCTCTGTAGGAAATCACTCTCTACACATGGATGACATGTAATACCTTATTACATGTAAATACATAATACTTTTAACATCATATACTAAAGAGCAAGGGGCCTGATATGTAAATTAAATGTTTATAAAGTGCTAGTTCTGAAGACTTTTGAAATTTAAAAGGGGTAATATAAAATCGAACAAAAGCAGGCAGTTGAAAAGGTAAAATGTAACAGCGGTAACATGTCAGCACTCAGACTTTAAGACTTATCATTTTCGCCATGAATGCCAGATGGGATCGAAAGTTCTTGCCGTTTTGAAGTAGCATACAAAACACCACTAAAATCGCCACTAATACTTTTATTCAAACACTTACATCGCTTCTACATATTTCCACTAACGTATGTGATTCCTAAGCGTCGGGCGTTTAGAAAACAATCTGAATTACCGGTATAAACCAAAATGACTAATTCATCAATTTTTGGTAAATTTACGAATATAAGTTACTCGACGTCATTATATTTTCACGTGTACTTTATTTCGCGAACTATACATGCAGACGTTATTCGCAAATACATTAACTTGTGGTCGATAAGATGTGAACTCAACATTTCTATTGATTATAGCATTACCACCTACAGGATGATGACATTCACGATCGAGGCTCCTCGCGAAACTTAAGTTATTAACAGTATCCAATTCACAGTCGACATATTGTTAAAAGATTCAAGCTGACTATCGGTGTTATTCACTTTGTTTTTAAAGATATTAAACGATATGGTCATTTTTGCCACTAATTGTAAAATGGAATAATGAATATACAATGTTTTCTTTAGTTTGGGTTCATAGAATGAAGCTTCGTTTAAACGAACAATTATCTCATATTATGTTAATTAATGCATTACATAAGATGAGAAGAATAAGTGAAGGGTTTGATAGTGGTTTTATATATATATATAAACTCTACCTCAGTCTATGCAAGGTTAAGGCTGAAAACCCAGAAAGTTTTGTCTGTTCCATATCATACACAGGAAGCACGTTGTTAGCTTACACACACACGAGATGCGAATTTAATAAAAAGCATTGAGATTTCTTCGTGACATTATGCTGCATGCTATCTATTTCTAATGCATTACGACATGAACAATGGGCAAACGATCAATTAAATAAAGTGAGATTAGAATCGGAAACTCTGTCTGGACATTCTCTTATATTAGCTAACTGAGCCATGACGTGTTGCAGCTGACGTCGGAATAGATTCGTTACATATGGGATGACGTCATGCAGTACGTGGAGGTAGTACTCACACAGGTTATTCGTGGTGGACGAACACACTTCGCCTCTACAGGCCTCCCACAATCCTGAGTGGTAATCGTCACATCCGGTCACCTCCCAGTATAACGTGAAGTAACCGGAAGCTTGGCATATAACGCCAACAGTGTAAACAAGTAAACACGTTTTTGTTCCCATTTTTAAAATAATTTCTTTTCACACAATGTAAAATCCCGATTAATATTGGCATCAGAGTACTACAGTACGACAAACATATTCCACAATATATATTATTGAAATTCAAAATAACGGAACTGAAAGAAGTTCCTCTTTTATATCATGACAGTTTGTTGAGTCATTCATGTGTTCATTGTATCGTAAATACAATATATATCTATATCGAAATTGACATGCCACCAACACTTGTACCGAATGTCAACAGGACGTACCACAACAACTCCAATACACGTTTATCAGAATAGCCTATACTTTAATAACCAGTTCAGATTAATCCGCCGGGGTCATGAAGCATATTTGTCATCGACACCGATATATCAAATTAACCTGATGAACTATTCTAAACCTTATCAAATCGCTGTTATATGCTCGAATACAGTTAATCAAGGAAAGTGTCATAAAGAATTGATGTTGTAGAAGGTTTTCATGAACCTATGGCTAAGTGTTGCCTTTACGTGATCTATGTGATATCGTTCGTCTCGTCATCTGAAATTGTTGCTGTATTTATTCTGCATGTCGGACTAGAATGCCGTTCGTTCACGGGTCTAGCACGGTCACGTCATGTCTTCGACCCTACAGTACAGTTCGTGCACGGGTCTAGCACGGTCACGTCACGTCTTCGACCCTACAGTACAGTTCGTTCACGGGTCTAGCACGGTCACGTCATGTCTTCGACCCTACAGTACAGTTCGTTCACGGGTCTAGCACGGTCACGTTATGTCTTCGACCCTACAATTCAGTTCTCACAGTCACAAATGAATTAACATAGCATTTCATTATCATAGCAAATTCTTCCGAATGTGTCCTGTTTAACACACTTTCCCTGATGACACGTCATCTTAATGCGTATAAGTCTATGAATGTATACAAAACTCGGTTTGAAATCCATATGATAAGAAAATTATACAAAAAAATTGAAAATCACAAGAAGATTGATTCCCGAGGTATTTCGGTGTTACACAATATCTCCTGAAGGGCTGTTTAGCATCAGAAGACCTCGAGCTTTTTAAATTTTGTATATATAGCTTTCCCCATTGTAGTGTGAGACTATCGTTGTGAAAGGAACCAGTATCTAGTGGCCACTGACGTTAATAAAAATCACATTTGGACCCTCTTTCTTACTTCATATTCCTATTTTATTATAGAAAGGAGTATATGTATTTCATACAAACCACCATTTCATTTATATTTTTTGATATTTTTACATTTTTAGAAAAAGGATGTGTTTCACAGACATGGCATTATGAAATCATGAACGGGGATAGAACAGAGGTGTATTGACAACTGGTGAGAATAACTAGTTATACCCTACAGACTCCTGTATTAATAACAGACTCTAGCTTATCAACATAAAAACTTTAAACCAAGTATACCTGTTCCATTGGATAGTTATATCAACCATGTTATGACTAATGTTGTTGTTTTTGTTTGTTTTTCTTAACTAAGTCGTTAGGTCTGCCATACTTTACAGTATAAATGTATGTATTTATCTGGTACTCATATACTTACGGGTATACATAACACTCCATTCATAACATAAGTAGTTTATCATGCAATTGATATAATCACTTTTTGGGAAAATATTTTATTTTTTTGACCCCGGTATATCCGGATTTTCACCTCGTTAATTTGTTCAAAGATGTCCTATTGTATTACTTGCACAAAAACTAAAGCAAAAGTTTAATCAGTAAAATTGAAAATTTCAACTCAATACATAAATTAGAAAGGAAATTATTAAGAAAAGTACCTTAAAGAATCCCCTGATTTTATCCTCCGTTTCACATAAATAATCTTTAAATGACGATTGAATTCTTGTCATTTTTCATTCTTTTATATATGTCTGTTTAATGTACGCATGTTTTCAAATACAGAAACAATATTCTTTTGATTGTTTTAGCTCCCTCTTTTTATTCTAATAAATGAAATAATGTACGGCAATAGAACAATTTTCTTAACGCATGACGAAAATAACTTATTATATCCTAAACACTTCAGTATTAAAAAGGCCCAAAAACAAAGTGTACCTGTTCAATTGGACAGGTATGTCAACTTCTTAATGATTGACAAGTTTACGAATGGTTACCATTATAAAACTTATTAAAGTAACTTATATTAGTCCTCCGTTCACACTCTCTACAAAGGCTTTAAGTCTATCATACCGTACAGCGATAGAAATGTATGTAGGTATCTGGTACCCATATATTAAGGGGTATAAGTAGCACCCCATTCAACTTATGACGTAATAGTTTATAATAGAATTCATATAAACACTATTTGGGAAAAACATTTTATTTCATCATGACAAGGAATATACAACAAGGAATGTCCAATCATTCAGTTCTAAATATAGGTTTCTTGTAATACCGCTAGCTATGTGTCATTCAGTAATCGTTCATGTTAGAACGTCGCCATTACGGATTTATTGGATTGAAGGTCTGCTTTTTAAACATACCAAGCACAGAAGTTTTACTTTTGTGTGTTTCCATGACAACGGCATGTAAGTAAAACAGAACACATTAACTGCAGTGAAACCACTTTTTATCCAAAATGCTATATACCCTTTGCAATTGTAAATCGCCCTTTCAGTTTCTGATTCGGTCATTTCAAAGCGTAAACATAAGATATTTTTGTCCTTATGTAATCTATGCGATTTCATTCTTTTTGTCTTCAGAAATGGTTTATTAATTCGTATTACATGTCGGACTAGAATGCCGTTTATTCCTGAGTCACTTTAATCTCCTTTACCAGGAAATATACACAACGTGACAGAGAGGCAAGTCGCAAAAGTATTGATTTTATCATGCGTTTTCATAAAAACATATCTTGAGCAAGAAAGAGGCAAAATTATGTAAAACAATTTTTAGAATATGTAAGGAGTATTTCGGCAGTATCTTTATGAGACGTCAGAATTTTTTTTTAATCTTTAGAAAGGGTATATATCTAGTTAATCATAGAAGCCATTCAATTCCACAGACACGACACGTTAAATCATGTACGGCGATAGAACATATATTACCGAGGCTTATTGACGTCTGGTGAAAATCATTTATTATATCCAATACACTTCAATATTGAAAATGGTCAATATCTCATCAACTTTGAAACTATAAAACTAAGTTCCATTGGATAGCTATGTCGATATCTTCATGATTAACTTTTATATTCAAGTTTACAAATGATTACCATTATGTAGCTACTTAAATTAATAGTACTCCTCCGTGAACACTCTCTACAAAGGCGTTAAGTATTCCATACCTTAAAGCGATAGAAATGTATGTAGGTATCTGATAACCATATACTTAGGGGTATAAATAATACCCTATTTAACTTTTGACGTAACCGTTTATTACGGAATGCATACAAACACTTTTAATATACAAATTATAAAACCCAAGTATACATGTTTTTTTTTATGGTTATGTGAACTTTGTGGTTAAAGTTTGATTTCAAATTAACGTTTGGTTACCATTATTTAACTTATTCAAGAAATCTGCATTACCCTTCCGTCAACACTATCTACAAAGGCGTTAAGTATGCCCTACTTTACAGTGTTAGTAATGTAAGGAGGTATCCTTACTTATATACGCATTTGGTAACATATATAAATAAGACCAACTCAACGTATAACGTCATCATAACAGTCACCTCAAGGTCAGAGGAAATTTATCTGGCTTTGTCAAATATCGTCCTATTGTATTACCAATTGGCTTTATGCCTTAAAATACCATACACTTTATAAGCATGATTATACAAAACACAAGCCAAAAATAAAATACAGGTACACACACTAAATATTTTAACTGAGATACACACAAATACAAATCAAGCAGCTAAAAGTTCATTTAAATAGTTACGTCTACCTGTTTTTGTTTAACTTTTATCTTAATACGTTAATATAAAGGTAACGCAAATTACCACTCCGTCCATACTGTATATGAATGAGTTTGTTTGCCCTACTTCCCAGTGATAGACAAAAAATGGTTTTGATATTTTACACATATACTTATTTTATAACATCTTTTTATAGAAAACATTTGACCATTTCGTAATCATTTGTTAACACCTCAAGGTCAGTGCAAGTTCATCTGGACTTATCCAGCATTTTCATACTGTAATGTTAATTAACTATTAGTCTGACAGCCCAACCACAGGTACGGGATATACAAAATACAAGGCAAACATATGATATATGATATACATCCATTTTGGACAATACATTCTTTTCAGGTTCATACAATGTATAACAACATAGTCATCTAAAGAAAAGTCCATGATTGATGAATTTATATATATATATTCAAGGAGTAGTGTTGATATTGGTCGACGTGGCTGTAGGGGTAATTAAGCGTTATCATTTTAATGTATCGCTTGTGTCACGTATAAGGTTATCTGGCTATTAAGTTTTTTTTAAGAGCGTCATTTAATTCTGTGTTTGTGAATCTTTAAACGGGTAATTGTTCAGGAATCCGATACAGGTACAATGCTGACGTCATAGCAATTATACGTCGTGACAGCAGGTTTATAAATACTCTGGGTAAGACATTCCTTGAAAAGAAAACATTTAGAAATTTCCACTAGTTCTTTATATAAATCACTTGTAATACCAAACTAATATGTCCTTCCAGAGCCAACAACTATTGGAAACAAACTTTTACGGATTAGGTGGATCGAAGTGCTGTACGTTTAACATGGAAATGGCAACAGTCCTACTTTTTTGTGTCTCCATGACAATGGTATTGACTGAAAATGGATCAGTGGTGGACACAGGGGTCGATCAACATTGGTACCAGATAAATACCAACTGCTCTTTATATGTATCAGCCTCAGAAGTTGAGCAATATCATCGAGTGAAAGAAATGGCGACAAAGCTGGTCTACGTTCAGTTCAAGTACAATGGAACACAATGGGATGTGATTAAAGTTCTAGATGAAAAGTCCAAATATCTCCTGCCGTTAGGCGATTATGCAGCAACATACGTGATATTTTCTCTATATATGCTTTCGTTTGGAATAGAACATACCAGTATAACATTAAATATGTGTCCTCAGCAGTGTTTAAATGACTCAACTGATTCTATATTTCTGTCGATGATGCTGGTATCAGATGATTTCAAAACGGTATGCGAAGATCGCAAATGTTTGGAAGATCTATTTGCGACAAGAACAGTGTGCGTTAAAAGACAGGAACATGTGCCCATATGTACAGTATTTAATGGGAGGGATAAACCTCTTATGGAAGTTCTACATATACCGTATGCAATATCTTTTTATATTGTGTTATTTTTATTTTATTTTTATTTTTTACTCTACTTTGTGTGCTAGCCATGTATCTTTTATATGTTATCGTTACTCGTTCTGATTTGTCATTTATGTGTTTTTTATTTATTTATTTATTCCTTAGCATAAGTTTGCTCATAAAAATATGCTTAAGACCGCCAACAATTAACATAGACTCAATTAATCCTGGCAGTATTTTGTATGGTTTTAAGGACTGTTCTTTTATCGTATTGATGCTACTCTATATATTAGCCCTACCTTTTATTTCATTTTATAATGCATTTCAGCTTATTGCTAGATATAAACGCTACCGTGCTCTCTTTGGACCAACCTATCGGAATTGCAGGGGAAATATTAAAGCTTGGTCTGATTTATTTGCCTGGCTCTTCTTTTGCACCGTCATCGCTTGGATGACTTATTGTGTAATAGTTTTAACGCTGATTGGTATAACAACGAATTCTGTTCCTTATTTACCACTTGTGATGGCAAGTATTGTTTACTGGGTAAAGATTTCTGCTCGACTGTCCAATTGGTATAGAGTTTTTTTCGAAACAATCTTAGAAAAAGTAATGTCAATGATTGAGAAACACTCTCTTGAAATAATGCTGCAGTCACGAAAGAATTGCTTTCTGGTCGTACGATCTCGGTCGCCATTGCAAATACAAGGTGACCGGTTGCAAGTCTCTGGAATTCCTATATTTATAGATAGAGAAGGAACTCTGAAATTAACAAAAGCATTCTTCCACAGGTGCTTAAAGATAAGAAATGAACGTTCACACAATAATTCCTTCCGCACATCTTCAGATGCAGTACGGCAATTGATTAATGTGAATATTTTTCTATTTATAATAGCTCTGATAATAATGAGTTTTGGTGTGGTTGGTGAACTCTCGACGTCGTACTTGACACTGGTTTCATTAGCGGGAGGAGTCCTTCCATTCCTGTTCGACAACTTCATTATTAAAGATAGTTCCGTGTCTGATATAGGTGCAGATATAATCCTTAAACATGACCTTGAATATCTTGTAAATTCGTATGAGGAGTCATTTGAAATCGATGGCTATCCACAAACAGAACAGTCTATTTTGGTCTCAAATGGATATGAACTAACTACCGTGCGGTCTCATCTCTCACCTGATGGACAAGAACTGAGTACCGTACCGTCTGATTCCACGACAGAAAACATCACAGAGGTAGGAGACATATCAGAGATGAATCCATTGTTGTCCTTAAACACGTGTAGGGATGTAAAAGTCCGAATTCAGATAGAAGATGATGGCCAGGAAAGAAAAACAGAAGTGCAAGGAGACCCAAGCTTTATTGACATTAAGTAGACTTATTTTTACTTTTTGAACAACAGTTGGTTATTATCTCGGCATTGATATCATTTTGCGATTGGTTTTGTTTCACGGATAGGACTTGGTATTTTCTCCCATATACATTTTTTAAACAAATGGTACATTCTTAAATTGTAATTGTAACTGTGTAATTTTTCCTTGATATGAAGTAATCAGCATCGCCCAGCGTTAGTTACGTAGATGTTATAAAAGAACTGTACTGTAAATCGTAAGAATCTGAAATTTAGTCTATATCCTGTTTACCATTGTCTACATGAAATCTATTTATAGACACCAGGTAACCAACTTTCCTACGGGTCGGATCCAAACGCCGATGTTTTCTCGCGTTTTAGCGAAGTTTCTCACACAGGCAGGAACAATTATAAACATGGGGGTGGGGGGTACTCGTTATAAACAACACAAACGATAAACAAACACTAAGTTTTATTAATATCATACTTGAAGCTTTTTTCCTCTTGCGTAACATTACAATGTAGTTAATGCAGACCTAGTCTACACTGATTATTAGTTATAACACGTTTAAGGAATCTAGCAGAATAAACGACAATATGACGTCAATGAACTCTCTTGGAATAAGTTTATACTTGTTAACAAAAGTGAAAGGAAACAATTATGTTGCATGTTAACACACACGCAATTTCAAAGAAAAATAAGCAATTATTTAATAGTGAATTTTGATTAATAGAGTATCAGGTATTATAATGATTATTATGAATATTAATTTAGGCAAACAGGAAATGGTTCTGGGAAGGTGCTTTGTGAGGAATAATCAAAACTGCTGTTTAAGCCCGAGGTTGGTTTTCCGTTGTTCATAACAATTAACTCCCATGCTAATATACTCGCAATCGCAACTGAGAAACATTAATAACAATTTGAGGAAACAAGCAAAGAACATGATGCGTTTCATTCCTATTCTCTGTATTTGCAAATATTTAAAAAATATCTTAATTTGTCTTTATCTCTCGATTTACTGACTAAATATCAGACTCATTAAGTATGTATAACTCGTGTGATATTTAATGCATGATTTCTATTTTATTCATATTTTTACATGCTGTACATTGTTTATAATGAATAACCATATCTCACAATCGATGGCCTGTACTTATGAAGTGTACCAATCATCTCCTGTTTGTTGTTCGATTTGTGGTGGCACTGTTGTTGTATTCTTATAATAGTTCCTTACTCATGACACACCTGACGCACATTCGATGGTACGTCAGTGATAAAAATAGATACAATTAGTACACTTAATGACTCAAAGTCCAGGATATGATCAAAATAGATACAATTAGTCACGTAATGATTCAAAGTCCAGGATACGATTGCTTCAAGCATGGTTAGCTTAACGAAACAGTTCTTTTATAATTTGATGTATAATTTTGAAATCCATAACCATTAATAGTAAAAAAGATACTTATGCCTTGAACTTAACTTAATCAATTAATTTACACAAAAACACATTTTTATTGATACACATACACAAGAAATTACCCTAATGTATCATTAAGCTAACTATGTTTGAAACAACGAGATGCAACGCATGATTTGTACCATGATGTGTTAGGTTCATGACATATTAAGGCATTGATGTTTAATTCATCATATTTTTGAAATACTTAAAATGAAAAACAAAATAAATGTATTATGTATTGTATGTGATTCGATTAACATTTTGCACAAAGAGTTTACATTTTTCTTTTAAAAAAAAATACAACGTAACAGCTGATGAATCGTATCCATGTGTCAATTAATAATGTACAAAATCTTGGATAGGTATATACGAAGTATATGTTGAACTTCGTACTCTCGTGTAAAGTCATTGACCCGTTACGTGTGTTTCCATACATTCAATTAATGGTACTCAATACTTGTTTTCATAATTCAACTACTTCTGTATCCATCCCAAGGAGAGGTTTTAGTATTTTTGTTATTATACAAGACTTCATTGTTTTATTTGCTAACTCTGTTAAAAGTTGCTTGTTGAAATATTTTTGGTGTAACCGGCATATTTCGCTACCTTTGTGTTTATGGATTCAAGCGTTTTCTATTAATATTATAATGCATCTACCAAAGTGCTGATTAACCACATTATAAAGGGCAGATGTTCAATATGATGCTTACATATAGAGATATTATTAAAAAATATGCCTCAGAAATTACTCCAGTTATATAAGCATTATTGGAAATATTTTCATTGATATTGATGCTCATTAATGTACATGTAAATATCAAGATAGTAAACATTGATATACGTGTCATGGAATTGTAATGAAAACACACATACATGTACATTGCAAATATAGCAACATAATAGACTGAGAAAGTGTGGTTATATGTCATATGTCGCTCAACCCATTTATCATGCTTAAGGTGGTTTGACAAATGGTGGCTGTATAACGAGGCCTTACTGTTAATGCTGTATCACATTTTCATTCTTTTAGTCAATTCAGTCTAATATAATTTCTAATTGTAATCTCTCAACGGAAACATTTAAACGTTGTTTTTTTGGTACAGTGTATATCTGTTTGCATTATTTGTAATAAGATGTATATTAATCATATCTTAAACCTCAAGGGCCCAGATGTTTAACATGTGATTAGCTTAACCCCTGTTTAACGACATTTTTAAAGTTGTGTTTATTTGGCCAATATACAATGTTGAAAACTAGTAATCTTTCATGCAATTTAACTCTACTCAATATACGAAAAGATTTACCTCAGTCGATGTGTTTTAAAGATGCACAAACAATTAAATTGAAGCTTATCACTGATTAATCTAAATACCTTTATAACAACTGGGCCCAGAAAAGAGTTAATAGAACTTCACTCAATGTTAGTAATATCTTACATTTTTCTTGTAACTTTTTTAAGTCTTAAATGGATGATTGTGTCTGATTTTAATGATTTTAGAAAAGTAGTTTGGCATACAAAAGTTTAAAGTGTGACATTTTATGTGTTACATACAATCAGTTTTCTTATGTAAGCGAGATAACTGCTAGATCTACGAGAACATCAACGAAACTTTATATACATTAAGGAAGAACTATTAAAAAGAGTTTTTTCCCTTTACCCGTGATGTGGAATTAATTAAACAGCAGTGTTAAAAACGCATGCAGTGTGGATGTTTTCAAAAAGAATTACCTAAAACAATTATACTGTGATACATAAATACATGAAATTTTGATATTTAATGTATGATTCGTATAACATTAATATGTTTATATGCTGTAAATATGCATAATGAAGGGCCATATTGTAAATTAGATTGTCCTTTTTATGCAATGCGGGAAAAAAATACAAAAACAAATTGGCAAAAATGTTTTTTTTATATGAAACAGAAATCATAATAGTTCAGTATCACATGCTACACCTAACGAATAATCGATGTTACGTCGATGATAAAAATAGATATAATTAGTACACGTAATGGCTCAAAGTCCAGTATATGATCAAAATAGATACAATTAGTCACGTGATGACTCAAAGTCCAGGATACGATTGCTTCAAGCATGGTTAGCTGAACGAAACATTTTTGTATAATTTAATGAATAATTTTGATTTCCATAACCATTAAAAGTTTATGTTAAATGTTAAATGTTTATTGATACACATACACAAGAAATTACCGTAATGTATCATTAGGCTAACGATGTTTGAAACAACGAGATGAAATGCACGATTTGTACCATGCTTTGTCAGGTTCAGGACATATTAAGGCATTTTAAAATGTTTGATACAATGTATTTTATAAACACTTAAAATGAAAGACAAAATCAATATATTATGTAATTTATGTGATTCAATTAACATTTTGCACAAAATGTTTACCTTTTTGATTTTTTGAATGTTTATTTTCAATTATAATCTTAACAACGTAACAGCTGATAAATAGTATCTAGGTGTTTATCAATAATGCAAAACATTGGATAGGCATATACGAAGTACATGTTGAGCCGCGTACTCTCATGTGAAATCATTTACCCGTTACGTGTGTTTCTATACATTCATGTAATTGTATTCAACAATTGTTTTTTGTTATAGTTAAAATACTTCTGTATGCATATCAAAGAAACGTTTTAGCCTTTTTGTAATCACATAAGACTTCATTGTCTTACTAACTAACTTTTTAACAAGTTACTTGTTGACATAGTTTAGGTGTACAAGAAATTGGCACTGTCTGCTACTACTGTGCTTATAAGCCACATTATAAAGAATATATGTTTAGAATGATGCCTAAATATAGAGATACTGTTAAAAAAACCCACAATACATGCATGTGTCTCTGAACTTACTCCTGTTATAAAAACAGTATTGCAAACATTTTCATTAATATTGATACACATTAATGTAAATATTAGAGAGTACATTTTGATAGGCGTTTCATGTAATTGAAATGAAAACACACATACAGGTACATTGTGAATATAGCAGTATAGATGAACGGAGAAAGGCAGGTAAAAGGTTTTATTTCTATTCGTACGAAAATATTTCTCCCCACTCTTCAATTTCTTAAACAAAGTCTCAAAACGACATGTAAGAGAAAAATTGATACTTTATTCAAATAAATTATAAATATATCGTGACTGTCAATCAATGGTATTTCAACATTAAAAATAATGTATACATAATATATTGTTTAGAGAGCGAAAGTGAGCGTAACCCCTGGATATCGAGGATGCTTACAAGCGTAATTATAGGAAATTATTGAAATTGTTTAGCAACTGAAATTGTTATGCATGCAATCTGACATAAGTCATTCTACACAATCCGCCCCCTTCCTGTGGAATTTGGAACTACCTACTTAAAGTACGATCGACCTTCATTGCATTTATAGCAGAACTGGCATGGGTCGAACGCTAGCAATCAGATCATTTTGTTGATAAGAGCATCCGTCTAGAGTTTGCAGGGTCCCTGGTTCGAATCCCGATCTGGCTTTCGCATTTCTCTTTCTCCTGTCACAACTTTAGCGCACAAGGAAATATATCCGCGGAGAGCGGTATTGGGTCTCGTGTGTCTTCGGGGTAGAAGACTTTATTGAAGGAGGGAGGAAAGCAGAAAAAAACTGGAATGTGTCAATCATCGGCGATCAGGTAGCTCAATTGGTGGACCGTCCGTCTAGAGGACGGAGGGTTCCGGGTTCGGACTCTGATCTGGACGTTGAATGTGTCTTTCTCCTGTTGCACATTTATGAATCAAGAAAAAAAATTTTAAACGTCCGAACGACGTTTATGATAATTATGTTCTAATTCACCAGTTCAAACGAACATAAATCATTTATCAATTACAACTCAACACTGTAATATAGGAAATAGCTGACTGCAGCTAGCGCTTTTATTGTGGTAAAGCTACAAAAACAAGGCAAGGCAATATCAAGCGACTGCGCACGGCTGTTCCTGAGCGACTGTTACTCTAGCTCCAAGTCCCAAAGGATCTGTCCCCGAAGTTCTGTAATAAGCCAAATGCCAACGCTTATAAACCTGAAAGCATACACCAAATGGCTCAGAGAGGCTCTCAATCCTAGTTTAGAGCTCGATGACAATTAACAAGCAACATCGAAACAAATTAACTCTCTACTGCTCGCTACCAAATTGGCCGGGTGTGTGTGTGTGTGTGTGTGTGTGTGTGTTAAATACCACATGCGCACTGTCTGGCTGATACTACCACCTATACACCCTGTATATGACAACCCCATACCCCAGGTAATTCACGTGCAACACGTAATTCACCGCGTGCGTCAGACTAGGTTAGAACAAGTTCATTATCTGAACCACTATCGTGTTTGTAGGTTAGAACAAGTTCATTATCTGAACCACCCTCGTGGATGTTGGTTAGAACATGTTTATTATCTGAACCACTCTCGTGTTTGTAGGTTAGAACAATTATCTCATATTATGTTAATTAAAGCATTACATGAGATGATAAGTGAATGGTTTGATAATGGTTATATTATACAATTATGATTTCAGGTGAGGTCTATCCCTGATTTACGGACGTGTATTGTTTAGACCAGGTCCGTTAATCAGGGATGGACCGATACTGAATTCCCGATTGTTTTATTATATGACATTTTACAATGAGATTGATAATTTTCAAGTCATAAACACACGGATGGCATGGACCATTTTGGAATCACAGAGTGAAGCACTTCAAACACAAAATATCATACACACACATTTAATTTCAGATTCAATTCATGTGATATTTAATTTCAAGTAAACATTATTTGCACAATCGACATCATCAATATTCACATAGTTCAGAATTTGATGAGATAATTCATTTGTAGTTGACTTCAGTAGTGAGATTGGTAACAGAATCATAGACTGGATGGGAAATTAACTTGGCCTATTTTTAGTAGCGGTTTGTAACACTTTTCTTTTTATAGGTCGAGGTCTGTAACACTTTTCTATTTATCGGACGAGGTCTGTAACATATTTACAGACTCGTCACATGACGTCGCTCCTGCAATCAAGACTGGGGATTAGCACCAGTCATTTAATAAATCTTTATATTTACTCTTACTCAGTCTATGCAAGGTATCATACACGTAAACCACGTTGTTATCTTACACACACACACGAATTTGATAAAAAGCATCGAGAATTCCTCCTGACATTATGCTGCATGCAATCTATGTCTAATGCATTACGACATGAACAATGGGCAAACGATCAATTAAATAAAGTGAGATTAGAATCGGAAACTCTGTCTGGACATTCTCTTATATTAGCTAACTGAGTTATGACGTTTTGCAGCTGACGTCGGAATATATCCGTTACATATGGGATGACGTCATGCAGTACGTGGAGGTAGTACTCACACAGGTTATTCGTGGTGGACGTACACACTTCGCCTCTACAGGCTTCTCACAATCCTGAGTGGTAATCGTCATATCCGGTCACCTCCCAGTATAACGGAAGCTTGACATATAGTGCCAACAGTGTAAACAAGTAAACATGTTTTTGTTCCCATTTTTGAAATAATTTCTTTTCACACAATGTAAAATCCCGATTAATATGGACATCAGAGTACTACAGAACGACAAAAATATTCCACAATATATATTATTGAAATTCAAAATAACGGAACTGAAAGAAGTTCCTCTTTTATATCATGACAGTTTGTTTATTCATTCATGTGTTAAATGTACCGTAAGTACAATATATATATATAAATCGAAGTTGACATGCCACCAACACTGGTACCGAATGTCAACTGGACGTGACATAACAACTCCAATACACTTTTATCAGACTAGCCTATACTTTAATAAACAGTTCAGATTAATCGGCCGGGGTCATGAAGCCTATTTGTCATCGACACCGATATATCAAATTAACTTGATGAACTATTCTGAAACTTATCAAATCGCCGCTATATGCTCGAATACAGTTAATCAAGGATAGAGTCATAAAGAATTGATGTTGTAGAAGGTTTTCATGAACCTATGGTTAAGTGTTGCCTTTACGTGATCTATGTGATATCGTTCGTCCCGTCATCTTAAATTGTTAATGTATTTATTCTGCATATCGGACTAGAATGCCGTTCATTTACGGGTCTAGCACGGTCACTTCATGTCTTCGACCCTACGATACAGTTCGTTCGCGGGTCTCAGTCACAAATGAATTATCATAGCATTTCATTATCATAGCAAATTCTTTCGAGTGTGTCCTGTCAAACACACATTTCCTGACGATACGCCATCTTAAGAGCTCGAGCTTTTTAAATTTTGTATATATAGTATTCCCCATTGACGTGTGAAACTATCGTTGTAAAAGGAACCAGTATATAGTGGCCACTGACGTTAATAAAAATCACATTTGGACCCTCTATCTTACTTCATATTCCTATTTTATTATAGAAAGGAGTACATGTATTTCGTACAAACCACCATTTCATTTATGTTTTTTGATATTTTTACATCTATAGAAAAAGAATGTTTCACAGACATGGTATTTTGAAATCATGAACGGGGATAGAACAGAGGTGTATTGACTACTGGTGAGAATAACTAGTTATATCCTATAGACTCATGTATCAATAACAGACTCTAGCTTATCAACATAAAAACTTTAAACCAAGTACATGTATACCTGTTCTATTGGATAGTTATACCAACTATGTCATGACTAATTATTTTTTTCTGTTTTTTTACTTAGTCGTTAAGT